AAAAAAAAAAAAAAAGACGATTGACATCTGTATGTTTTGAACACTGTGGAAATTGAAAGTGTTAAGGCTGTATAAAATCACTATGACTTTGTCATTATATAGTGCAACGCTTTCTGCTAGAAATATGTCATACCGACTTTGTTTTCTTAATGCTGTACTTTCCATGGTTGCTAGAGTAGCTGTGAGGACCTTTTCCTGAGGTTTAGAAAGTAGAACTGTCTGTAAATTTTAGATTGCCTTAATAAAATGATGCTGAATGCAGGATGATCTTTCAGAATGAGACTTTCTAAGTAGTTGCCTTCCATTACTTCCTCACAAATTCTCAATTATTTAATATTATTTAAGAGCTATCATTTGAACTGGATTATTGTGAAATAGCTCAAATAGAGCTGGTTTTATTCTGGCCCATGTGTATAATGCTATGGGTCTCTAGACAGCATGGGCTCAAGATTAACGTAGCTGATAGTTATATTAGGTTCCCTGAAAACAAACTCTTCAGTGAATATTTAAATGTCCTGAAGACACAAGAACAATAAAGTATTGAATTGGTTTCTTAAGGATATATGTAATTTAAAATTTTCTATGTGTATATATATACACACACACACATAATTTAAAAAATTTATTAGATTATGGCTTTTAGTGGCTACTGCAGGATTCTGCTCAAGCATCTCTGGCCTGCTGGATATTTTTATTTTTGCTGTTGCCTTTTGAAATACATTTTCCTTTAAAGTTCAGGTAATTTTACATTAGCGATGAGTGAAAGCTCGTGAGGGATTCTTGTGCTTTGTGGCTCAGTTGAGGAGTTGGTGGGCTAACCATTTGTTTAATGACCAAGTATTTATCCACAGGCACACTGTGCTTGGTATGGGGGTATAGTAGTGAACAAAATCCCACCATCAGACCCTTTATGTTCTGGTTTCTTAGTAGTTCCTGAGCAGTAGTGTCATTCAGATTGTTTTATCAGTTAGAGTAATTTGGAAAATGAAGATGGTACAGTGTAGAGTTTTGTGTTATTTCTGGTAAGTGTGTAAACACTCAAATTATTCCATGGTCTAATCTGGCAATTACTGACATGGGATTTAAACACTCCTTTATTAAAATATTCCATTTGGGAGGCGCCTGTGGCTCAGTGGGCAGGGCATTGACCCCATATACTAAGGGTGGTGGGTTCAAACCCAGCCCCAGCCAAACTGCAACAAAAAAATAGCCAGGCGTTGTGGCAGGCACCTATAGTCCCAGCTACTCCGGAGGCTGAGGCAAGGGAATCGCCTAAGACCAGGAGTTGGAGGTTGCTGTGAGCTGTGTGACACCACGGCACTCCACCATGGGCAATAAGGTAAATCTCTGTCTCTACCAAAAATAAATAAATAAATAAATGAATAAAAATAAAATGTTGAATTCATTATGGATTTGGGGGTTTTGTATTGATAAATATTTATTCACAGTATCCTTTCATTCCAAATAGCGTATGATGACAGTCTGTGTGGAAGGTACTTGATGAGTGTAGTTAGCATTATGGCAACTAGATGACTTTCAAAACAACAAATATAAAAAGAGAAGGAGATTTACTACTGTGTGCAAGGAAATATGTTAGGGTCCATAAAGACAAACTTCTTAGTCAACTTATAAATTAAGTTTTTGAGAGGGTAGAAGTTTTGCTTTTAAATTAATAGACTAAAGTACTTTGATAAGGAGACTATAATAGATTATACAAGGTGGTCATAAAGTTTGTGTGTAATTTAAAATTATTGTCTATGGACACCCTATAGTATTTCACATAAAAAGTCAGGGAAAACTATTTTTAATACATTGTAATTATTTAAGATTTTCAGAATACATTAAGAAAATTAAGCTTTTATTATATCACTTGAGATGCTGTTGTGCTTGTTGAATAAAAATGTGTGTAGATGCTTTGTATGTTTAATCTTTGATTGGGTTTTTAATGAGCTTTTAAAAATAGCATATTTCTATGCAATGTTATTGAACCTAAAGATTTTTGGTAGTGTTTATGTAGAAACAATGTATTATTTGTCTTTTTTTTTTCTTTTTATATCTCCACTCCATTTCACTCATTTACTGCCAGGTATACAACTCTGTCATACAGAGCCCCTGAAATGATCAACCTTTATGGAGGGAAACCCATCACCACCAAGGCTGATATCTGGGTAAGGCCAAGAAAGGCTAAGATTTGCTCTAACCAAATGAAAAATCTGAGTTTAGTTTACTAATTTCCCCCTGGCCCCAGAAGGCATTTACTAATTGGAAGAAAGTGATGTAAAGCTGCTTATTCAGGAGAAGAAAAATACCAGTGCATTTTATCTTCTCAGCTCTGAGATGAAAAGCATATGTATCAAAAGGCAAATAAAAAACTTCTGTATAATGTAACTTTTTATCACAGTAGTTTTTGGGATTTAGATGATATATAAGTATTAACTATTTTTTATTAAATAGAATTTTGGTTGATCACAATATAGAAAAGCTGGATATAATTCAAATAATTACATATCAACTTTCTGGAGTATTTTAGGATCTTTTAAATGGAAGCTGACATGAGTATAACTTTTCTCTGATTGCAGAAACATACCATTGAGTAGCTTCTGCTCACTGAGAGTCTTTGTCATTTAGCATATTGGCATATATACATGCTTCTATCTGGATGGAGTTACTGAGATAGACCTTGTGACTTGACATAAAGCTCATCTTTGTGTGAGAATGTCAACATTTCTTTACAGCTTATTTCATAACTAAAATATGTTTCTGGTTGTATTTAATAAACTAGCAGAAGACTTTATTTGAAATGTTAAGTCATTTAAATCATCAGCAATTTAATCTTTATCTACTAGTAGTGATGATATCAGGGATGGAGGTATAAAGTTTTTTGGAAATAGTTTTAGAATATACAAAAAAGTCAAATTTATTTCATTTTTAAAACAATGTTCAAAAAGTAGTTAAGAGCATAATGTGTGAAACCAGACAAACATCTCCTTGGTTTTCTTCTTCTGGCTCCTCCCTTTTGGAGTTGAGGTGCCGAAGTCTTGAGAGACAAATATTCTTGCAAGGTAGTAAAACAAGAATAGCTGTGATGGCTTTTTTTATGTCTACATATAGTATACATGCTTTGGATTTTTAACTGTATCTATAATTAGATAAAACTGCACATACGTTTATTAGATAATTTCAGAGTGCTTATCAGTCTCCAGCTTCTATAACTCATATTTTGTTTGCTCTCCTCAGTACTAATATTTGACTCATCAAATAGCTCATGGTAAAAGTAAGGTTTATGTATAAGATAGAAGCAAACTGAATCGGATCTTAATGTATAAAATGAAGAAAAAAGAGGTGATTGTGGATGTCTTTTTCTGACATAAGTTTGTCAATGCTGTTGAATTTCATATTATCTGAAAAGAGTATTTCAATAGCAGATAAACAGTAGGCATTATACTTTGACTCGTTTTGAAACCATTGAAGGTCGATTTAAAAATTGTTCCTGGGTGGCCCCTGTGGCTCAAAGGAGTAGTGCGCTGGCCCCATGTATTGGAGGTGGCAGGTTCAAACCCAGCCCCAGCCAAAAACTGTAAAAAAAATCAACTATGTTCCCTAACATGTGGTTGTTATACACTTTAACACTCAGGAGGGAATCCTTTTTTTGGTTTATTTTTTCATAAGACTTAGTATGTGTGCAAGTTAGCACACTAAGTTGTCAGTGATACTTTTAAAAATATGTAGCACTTATAGACTTAATGTACTGGGTACTATGTCTGTGATGGATAACTTGAGTTTAGCTGTGGGATTATAGATACTAAGATTAGAATAAAAAACAAGAAAAATTATCAGAAAATAGTATCTATGTTTACATGCTTGAAAGAGGTAGAATTTTAATTTCTATGATGCTGTTTTTAATGCTTGTCTGACTTAAGCTCAGGTAAAATAGAAATATGCAACATCATCATAGGTGTGAAATCAAAAATATGTAGGGAAAAAGTCAATTCTAATTGGTCAAGAATTATATTTTTGATCTCTGAATAGGACTGATTTAGGGAATACTGATACTGGGGGCGAAGTATTTATTTAGCACTTGATATTTTGGAAAACAATTTTTTTTTTCTTTTCGGACAGGTAGTTTCCATTTTAGTTTTTTTAAATCTGGAGATCTAGGGTGCTGATTTTGTTAAGTTTTAGAAAATTCAGTAAGAGATGCTTCATTTACCTTTTAATGAAGAAAATTACAGATGGTGGTGGTCAGCTTTCACAGCCAGGTCACTTATTCCCTCCTGTTCTGTGTGCAGTTTTCCTCATATGAAATGGATAAAGAGGGAAATGGCTTTGGTGGGAAATGTTAGTATACCTCATTGTGTTTACACTGTTCAGAACAAGAGCATCTTATATTGGCATTGCTAAAATTGTTATCTGGGAAACTCCCTCTACATTTTCTCTACAAGACAGATTATGGTGCTGCAGATTTGATTGAAATGATAAAACTGGCTAAAATGGGCCAGGAAGGTGGCTCACACCTGTCTGTAATCCCAGCACTCGGAGAGGCTGAGGCAGAAGGATCACTTGAGCCCAGGAGTTTGAGGTTGCTGTGAGCGCTGTTCATTGGATTTAGCTATATAGGATTAGCCAGGTGACAGAGTGAGACTGTCTCAAAAAAAAAAAAAAAAAAAAAATTTTTTTGGGGGGAGGGGTTAAAACAGATGTTTTTGCCAAGCCTGTCATTTAGTGGAACTCAAGATATAATTTTAATGTGAATATAGTAATTTTTTTAAGTGCTGTTAGTGGAGCAAATATTCATTTGCTGTATATGTGCTGAAATTATTTTGCTTGTATTAAATAGAAAAAGTATCAGAAATCTTTTTAACTATATTGAACTGGTTATTTCTATTCAGAATATTTATAATTTTGTTATATAATCCAGTGATCTTTTCAAACTAACGTATTGAAATTTATAGAGCTTTTAAATTGTTTTTATTGGAACATTGTTGCCACTATTGAAAATAATGTTTGGTAAATTAATATTGCCAGCTCACAAGGTGTCTCAGGATGTTGTCATGATCCTTAGTGTAGTTATAAAAGTGAGTGTACTTGTTAGCTATGTTTGCCTAAATTGTTATCTAGAGAAAATTCAACAAAGGAAAGGTGATTTGCTAATTTTGAGGTAGTAAGGTCAAATTTCAGTATTGTTGATATAATTGTATACTAACTATAGGATAATTTTATACAATTTGTCTAGAATTAGAAATGCCTCTTACACACTTAAGGCCTATAGGTGACATTTCTTGTGACAAAATAATGATTCCTTGAGCCCCAAATCGCTTTTTTTGTTTTAAACTTCTTGTCAAGTTCCCGCTGTTACCAGCTTAGCACATTTCCTGTGCTACTTTTTAGATGCAATTTGTGTTTCAGGGTGTTTTGCTGTCCCTGTTAGCAAGGATGTTGATTGGCGCTATGATATTTATGAAGTAATGCAAGTTAAGCAGGCAGAACCTTTCCCTTTTGAGTTTTAATGTAGATTATCCAGGTTATAAATATAGTTAGTATAAAATGCATTGAAAATTGTACTATTAAAAATAGAGAACTTAATTTTAGTAGTATGGAGTAATGAGGTGTTTACTAAATAATCAGTAATGATGTATTGATGATTGTCTGATAATACAACTGTGCAGTCTAACTTGTGTTTGGAGTTCCAGAATTTTCAAATATACTTTACAGTGAATTTTTAAAAATGTTGTTAGAGCCTTGTACTTAAACTTTGTTGGTTATATGCTAGTTGTGTACTAAAATATATATAGAAGAAATTATAATTTTTTTTAATTGTTCGGGATTCACTGAAGGTATCGAGAACCAGGTTACGCTGATTGCATTTGTTAGCTACAGTCCCTCTTTTAATTGTGTCCCGCCTGCAAGAGGTGTGTCATTTATTCCAGAAGGAACTACACACTTCTAATTTTGGTTATGTGAACCAGTTTGCCACAGATGTGATAGAAAATCACAGAAACACAGAAATGATATTTTTTTAAAAATTAAGCATATTTGTTTAAGCAAAAATTTGTGAAAAGATTGATGTAGTTAGTATGGGAACCTTAGGGTTTTGTTTTTTCATAGTATGTTTAGTTTTGGGTTTGGGGCTATTTTTGTGTCTTGTGGGTAAGTTGATTACTTGAGCTCTAATGCTATTCCTGCTTTGTCTTCCAGGCACTGGGATGCTTACTCTATAAACTTTGTTTCTTCACTCTTCCTTTTGGTGAGAGTCAAGTTGCCATCTGTGATGGCAGCTTTACCATCCCAGACAGTTCTTGTTACTCCCATAACATGCACTGCTTAATAAGTAAGTACTTGGAAAACACATGAAAACTGTCAGATGGTGTACTCACAGCCTGTCACTTATATCTCTTTACTTAAACCTAGTCTCTTAATTTTAACATGTTACAATTTTATGAAACTATAATAAAAAAATTAAAAAAAATGTTTATAAGACTTAGAAGAATGAAAGCAGCCTGATTACTGCTTAATACATTGATGTTTTTAAGACTTAAATAAGATTTAGTGGCACACACCCCGAAGTACAGTGTCAGAAAGGATAGTTTGGTGGGCTCTCAATTCCCACAGAATACTTCAGTTTTTCTTCCAGCCTCGTTTAAGATTTTTCTCTTCTGTTTTGATGGATACTGTAATTTAACATTTTATTTATGTACATGGCAAAATTTCTGAAGAAGATGATTTGAAGGGAGGGTGAGGACTGTCAAATTTCAAAATAGATTAGGAAGCTGAAGTGTTTAAGCAGCAGCTATCAGGACTGTTTAAATCAGCATGTTTTCTAGCGTTTCTACTTTGTTTTCTGCATTTTAAATATCCCCTGTATAGTTCAGCTTAATGAAATAGAAAAGGGGGTCAGTTTAAATATATTTGATATTTATATGAGAAAGATGGCAGTTTAACTTTCTTTGCCATCTGTGGAAAAACATAAGGTGGGTCTCTACTTCATCCTTTATGCTAAAATTTCAAATAAATGAGAGATTTAAATGAAAAAAAAAATCATAAATGTACTTGAAGACCGTAGGTGTGAATATATTCATATAAGCCTAGAATGTGGAATGCATAAGCAAGGCATTATATCCCAGGAACCGTGAAAGATGTAACTTTAAACCAAGGGTCTAAAGGCCGCATGCAGCCCAGCACAAATCTGTAAACTTACTTAAAACATTATGTTTTTTGGGTAGAATTCGATCGTGCAGTTCTTGAGTATGAACTTTGTGTGACAGCGTCTCATTTGTTGCATTGCGATGTCATGTAAATTAACATGTGCGCTTGCAGTCTGTGTGCATGTGTGGCTTCAGTTCTATGCAGCATGCGGCTTCCAGTGTGTTCTCTTTGAAGCGCACAGTGGAATTGACAGCGTGAGATGTTGCCTGTGCTCGTGGTGACTTGGTGAGGCACTGAGTATCAGTCATGTTTCAAGCTACCATTGCAGTGGTAGGCATGTAATGGTATTTAGAAGTCAGGTAAGGATTCCTGTTTGAATATTCAGGGCACTTCCACGCCCTGGTGGTGTCTCACATCACCCACTGTGCTTTACAGTTGACCTTCTCTGCCTCACTCTGCACTGGCCGCTGAGATGTGAATGTCCAGACCTTGCTTTCTATTTTTCTATCAATTAATTTTCGTAATAAAAGTGAAAATTATCTATTGTTATTTTTTTAACCCCAGCATGGGGTTCTACAATGTCTCAAAACAGAACCCCCCTAAAGAAAAATTATGGATACAGGAAGATTGTTCAGTGAAAAGTGGACAGATGACTACTTTTTTGTCAAGGCAAATAGTAAGGCGCTCTGTTGAATTTGTAGGGACTTTGTGCAAGTTTTCAAAGACTGTAATTTGAAAGGCATTAATGTGAAAACACGCTGCTGAACTTGATGCGATAGGATTGCTGTAAGGATGAAATCGTGGAACTGAAAGAACGTCTGTCTTCTCAACAAAAATCTCTTTTAAAAGTTACAACTTAGATGGATTCCATTGTAAAAACTAGTTACGTGGAAGCATACATAATAGCAAAAAAAATAATGGAAACCATTTACTGATGACTTTATTAGGCAGTGTATGGAAAGCTTGGCCAATATAACTTGCCTTGGAAAAGGGGCGGGGGATATTTCTAGAATCTGTTGGTCTCACCAGACTGTAGCCAGGTGAGTTGAAGAAATTGGAAAATCTATTGAAAGAAGTTTGGAGAGTAAAAATACTATTTTTAAATTTTATACTTTGGCAATGGATGATAACACTCACCCTATAAATAATGGCTCAACTTGCCATTTCTATAGAGGTCCTGTTGACAAATATAATGCCACTGGAGAAATGGCTTCCATAGTGCTATTAAAAGATAAAACTTATCAAGAGATTTATATGAAGCAGTAAACAGTATGTTGAAGCGATTTTTTTTGTCCATTGTCAACATACCTGGTAATTGTGACTGGTCGTAGGTAAAAGAGAGAGACTTGTAAAATTAAAGGACAATGATGCAGTTACTCCCCAAAACTCACATTTGATGAAATATCTTTGCATGTTACATTGAGAAAATTTAAAAATTGATAATGTCATGCAAATCATAAGACTGTGAATTTCATAAGGCCAAGGGGTTAAATTATCACCAATTCCAGAAATTCCTTAGAAGTATTGATGCTAACTATGGCAACACCATTTATTTTTTGAAAGTAACATGGCTAAGTCATGGCCAAACTTTGAAAAGATTTTATGATTTGTGACATGTTATTAAGTCTTTTACGGTACCAAAACCCAAATTTGTGCCACAACTTGATGATGAAAACTGGCTTACAGATTTAGCATTTTTCGGGGATTTGACCATTCTTAAATTTAAATGAGTTAAATTTGCACCTTCAAGGTAAAAACCAACTTACCAATGTAAAGTTTCAAACCATAAACCATACAGCATTGCAAAAGAAACTGAAATTATAGCAAGCTCAAATTAAGGCAAACAATTTTATGCATTGTGACATATTGGCTAACACAGTCCTGTGAGCAGCAAAAAATCTGCAGCCTTGCTTTTTAATGTGATACAAAACTTTGAAAATAGATTTCAAGATTTCTGAGAAAATAGTATCTTGGTGCGTTTGTGACTCCCATTTTCAGTAGACATAAATGTTACCTGTCGATTTTCAAATGAAGTGTGTAGTCTGACATTCATCTTAAAGGAAATTTTGATCATATCTCTTTTCTGGACTTTTCTACGTCCTGTCTTTTCATAGACAAATATCCCTTGCATCACTATAATGCCTTATTCATGGCATTGCTTTTTGGCAGCACTTGTTTTTGCAAGCAGCTATTTTCAGAATAAAGCACATTAAGGAAAAGTTAGAATCGATACATCTGATAAGCACCTTGGGAGCTCAAGAGAATTGCAGCTCCTTCCATTGAACCAGTGATTGCTGCAAAATTCCTCAAATACAGTATCACATATCACTAGTTTTATGCTGCCCACTTTTCTTTTACTTTGATAATAAAAATATCAAAAGAACCTAAAGAGCCAGGCGCAATGGCTCACACTTGTAATCCTAGCACTCTGGGAGGAGGAGGCAGGCGGATTGCCTGAGCTCCGGAGTTCAAGATCAGCCTGTGCAAGAGCAAGACCTTTTTTTTTTTTAGCATCTCTTAAAAAGAAAAAAAAGCAGGGCATTGCGTTAGGCACCTGTAGTCACAGCTATGTCGGAGGCTGAGACAAGAAACCAAAGACATTTCATTACTTAGATGTTTACATTTTTTATATTAGTAGTCACAAACTTAAGACCTGCTTGACAATTTTAGAAGACTCTTTAAAAGGCTGCCTCATAATTAGGATTATGATGTGATGACTTTTGGCTTACCTCTCATGTTGGATATCCTGACAGTTATGCATGGAGATTTTATTTTGCTCATCAAGACTCATTAGTGTTGGTGCATTTCACATGTGGCCTAGGACACCTCTCCTTCTAGTGTGTGTGACCCACAGAAACCAAATGGTTGCAAACCCCTGTTTTAAACCATTAAGAGTTCCCTCAAACATAGGAACCCCAGCATATAGTCACATGATAAATAGCAGGTATTTGTTACATATTTGACAAAAGGCCAACTTACATAAATGCATAGGATTTGTATAAATCAAAGTGAAAAGTATAAATACTTCAGAAGAAAGGTCAGTGGTGGTCAAAAGAAAAACAAGTATGAAGGAAAAGTGGAGTCTCACTTGTGATTTAATTTGCTTGTTGTAATAACATTATTTTCTTGTGTTTAGTTTTTTTTCCTTTTCTGCATATGTGTGTATATGTGGGAAGTGTGTGTGTGAAATGGGAAGGTACAAAGATAAATACTATTGATCTTTTTAGGATGTGATTGGAGATTAATTGATGCTTTATATGGTACATAATTATGCTTTTGTTTGTTAATAAATGCAGCTTTTAGTTTTTATCATTACTAGTATAGATTTGACTGTGTATTAATGTCTTTGAACTTTTTGGACTTTAGTTTTTAAATGTTGTATTGAGTAGCAAAAGCTTAATAAAGTACAGATTCTTAACACCAGAACATATTTACCTACAATACAGTATGTGTTAGAAAACTCTTAGATCCTTTGCCTTTTCATGCTTTACATTGTAACATGCAGCCTTGCCTGTTTCCTCCCATCCTGTTTAGGTATCTTTGTGTTTATAATATGTGATTAAAATTGCTGTTAAATAATTTCTACAATCAGAAAACCAGGAATTGCCTAGTTTTGTTCAGTTTTTAAACTTTTTATTCAGTTGTCTATTCATACAATATGGTTGTTCTCACATTTTAATATGGGATAAAGCATTAAAGATAGACCTTTTCAGTATTAATGATAATACTGATGCTGTTTGTTATCTGTTTTATATTACTTAGAATTTTCCAAAATGTAATAGCCATGACAAGTCTTTGTTAAAATTGTCGGATTTGTGGTTACCTAAGCGTTTGAATATACTTTTGATTATCCCCACTGTAGGTCATGGGTAATTATTACCATGTTGTCCATGAAGCCTGGTTTAACTATTAATTTCACATTTGTTTACTGTAGACTTTCCTTCATAAATGTAGCTGAGTTAATTATTTAGAATTGTTCTTCTTTTGTTAACTTTCCCAATAGACGCTTAAGGAGGGTGACGTGGGGGAGGAGGAGAGACACTTTCCATTTCTATATCCAAGAGTTGAAAAGAACTTGGAGAACCATGTGCAGGAGAGTAAGAAGCATATAAGATTACCAGATAGTTAGGAAGAATGAACCAACAGTGGCTGCCTCACTTTTCTCTTAGCTCCTGTGTTGCAAGG